CCCGCAGGGTCTGCACTGCCACAGGCCATGCGGCCAGCAGGGCTCAGCCTTCCCTTGCCGCCCTCCCCTCTCCCAGACCCACCGTCCCGCCCCATCCCTGCCCACACAACTCCTGGTGCGGATGCTGAGCCTCGCAGCGCCCTGCCTGTCACCCAAGGAGACGGGCAACGGGTGTGAGTCAGCTAGCAGGTCTCTTAAGCATCCTTTCTCCATCTCTTCCACGTTACCTACGTGCACGGCCCCAAGCTCTCCCCACACAGCATCGGGGGGCACACGGTGCAGCCCCACAGCCCCCCAGCAGGGCCCACGGAGGAGGCAAACCCCCTTCTGAGCTGTCACAAGGAAACCATGCAGCCAGATTCACGTAGCAAGTGTCTCTTCAGCGGGTTTGCCCCCATATATAGGTGGCATCTACTGAATATTTACATGCCTCAGCAATAGCATACTGGAAACTGTGCCACGCGTGGCTTGATGGTGCTGAACTAACGCGTACATGGTCCATGTACCCTCTGAGTACAAAGTTCCTCCTGTCCAGCCACAGGTGGATCCCAATTTCAGGCATGACTGGTAACCTCCTGCGGCTCCTGGAGGGCACACGGCTTCAGCATCTGCCCAGTTTGCTCACTGAGCTGCTGGATCCAGGAGGAAGGTCCGGTGCTAGTCTGCTGTGGGATGCTCAGGGTGGCAGAGTCCAGGCCAGGGGCTTCAGCCAAGCTCCAGCCCTCAGGCCAAGTGCTGGGGTGCCCACTGCTCCATGCCCATGGGTGGTTGCAGGCTTGGGCATCAGGCAGTGGCTTGCAAAAGCTCTGATATGTGCCTTCCTCTCATGGCAGGTGAAGATGTGGGTTTACCCTGGGAGAGAAGGATCTGGGAATTTCCCCCTGCAGGTGGAAGGTGCTAACATCCTGCCACCAGCTGCTGCACAGCACCTGTGGGTCATCCAAAATGCATTTTGTGGGCAGTTGAGCAGCTCTGGAGGGGCTGTGGCCAGTGAGAGGACATCCCCTCTCACTGGGGCTGGCATGCCTACTCCTCCCCGGCCGACATGTAGGAGCCAAGGAGCTGGGAGTGCTGTCAGGCTTCTCCCTGTGCAACTGAGTTCTGGCAGGCAGGGAGAGGGCTTCCTGCCCCTCCAGGCAAGCATGTCCAAGTCCCAAAATACACAGAGAGTTTGTGTTTTCACCCTGTAATTGTAGAGCCCACTGGGAGCTACTGTCAACTCCTGGCTCCTCCTCAAGCAGGTACTGGCTACCGGACAGACCCTGCTCCAGTGGGCAGGTACCTGCACACATCCCTTCCACAGGCACCCGCCCCATGCATGGGCCTGGAGCTTCCTTACTTAAGGAAGTCCAGCTTTTAGTCCAGCTGATATTCCTCCTCTCTGACTGGGGGAGAGAAGCTGCTCTGTCCCAGTCATCGTCACCAAGAACACGGTCCATCAATAAATAATCTTCTCAGCTCATGTTGCTCCTGGACTTGGGTCAGCACATGAGCAGGAGGTCAGAGTTGTCCCATGTTGTGGCTCTTCTGCTGCCCTTGGGGTTTTGTTCTGAGGCTTCACTGTACAATGAGAACGAGACCAGCTGCCCGGGTTTCATTACTGAGTTCAAGTGAAGTGGCTTTGGTTTGCACATGGGGCTCCTCTGGGGATGGGGAGGGTTGGGGACCGGACCTGGGGGGAGCAAAGGATCACTCTTCACTGGCTGACTCCTGGAGGAGGCGATGGATGTCCTGGAAGGAGGGACGATCTTTAGTGTCCCGTCTCCAGCAGCTGAGCATTAGCTTATAGACTGAATCAGGGCAAAGTGCAGGCTGGGGAAGATAGGTCTTCAAAACAAAAGGCAAAGATGACAAAAGGAGACAGTTACTACCATGGAAACAAAAACAAAACCAAAAAAAAAGCAAACCATTCCTGGGGAGCCCCATTTCTCCATGAACCTGGGTAAGGGGCTGTGTGTCCAGGGGTGTGGGGACCCCCAGATGCCACAGTGGGAGGGCTGGGGACATCTGATCACATCTTCCAGCCTGGCTAAAGGCTGGTGAGGGGTCAACAGGCAAGTGGTGCCTTTGACTGCTTGAAGTGCCGAGTTTGCCAAGCTGGGCCCATCACCAGGACTCCTTCCCCCACAACACCCCAGAGCCAAGCTCCCTGTCTGGTGATCTTAAAGCCCTTTCCCAGGTCTCCCAGTGTCCCAGGAGCCCTGTTGCCTGTCCTTTCCCATCCTGTTCCATCCCACCCCTACCTGCCGGCCCTGGTCCCGGAAAAACTCGCCGGTGTTTTCGATGACCTGCTCGTCGGAGAGCTGGGAGTAGGGCTGCTCCCGGCACAGCGTGAAGGTCTCCCACAGCGTCACGCCGAACGCCCACACGTCACTGGCTGTTGTGAACTTGCCCTGGCCGAGGGAGCAGAGCAGGGTCATGCACAGGCATCACCCCATCCTGCTCCATAAGCCCTGCGTGCTCAGGGTTGGAAACCTCTTTCTGGATGCTTCAAATCTGGCACCAGAGGGGGCTTGGTTCCACAGACCTGCTCTTTGCCTGAGGCCAGAGCCTGGTGAGCTCTGGATCCAGTTTGCACTGAGTGCTCTGAGAGCTGGGGCTTGGTAAGAACTGGGTCTTACATAGATAAAAACTAGCCCTGCTCCCTCTGCCACATCTGACCTCAGCCAGGAGAGGATGTCAAGCATCCTGCTCAAAGGCTAGGCACCACAACACCAAAGATCACCATACTCGCCCCATCCCACTTTGAGAAGGTGCTGCTACTCCTGCCTTTCTCTGCTCCCATGGTTGCATGCTTCACCCCAAAGCTGGGCTCCAGGGAGGATGGACTTCTCCATTCCTTCTGTACCCACAACCTGAGGAAAAGGGGCTACGCCCAGCCCCAGGGCCCTGTCAACGTCCCCAGCCCACACGTACCAGCAGGATGCTCTCCCAGGACATCCAGCGGATGGGGAGCACTGCCCGCCCCTGGATGCGGTAGTAGTCCCCGCTGTAGAGATTCCTGCTCATGCCAAAGTCAGCTATCTTGATGGTGTAGTGCTTCCCCACCAGGCAGTTGCGTGTGGCCAGGTCTCGGTGCACGAAGTTGAGGGAGGAGAGGTACTTCATGCCAGAGGCAATCTGGGTGGCCATGAACCGCAGGTCGCTGCAGATCACAGAACCACAGAATGTTTGGAGTTGGAAGGGACCTTAAAGATCATCAAGTTCCAACTCCTCTGCATGGGCAGGGACACCTCCCACTAGAACAGGCTGCTCAGAGCCTCATCCAACCTGCCCTTGAACAGCTCCAGGGATGGAGCCCCCACAACATCTCTGGGCAGCCTGTTCCAGTGTCTCACCACCCTTACACTGAAGAATTTACACCTGATCTCTAACCTAAATCTCTCTTCTTTCATCTTAAAACCATTACCCCTTGTCCTCTCACTGCAAGCCCCTGTAAAAAGACCCTCCCCAGCTCTCCTGTAGCCCCCTTCAGGTACTGGAAGGCCACTATGAGGTCCCCCCAGAGCCTTCTCTTTTTCAGGCTGAACAACCCCAGCTCCCTCAGCCTCTCCTCATAAGAGAGGTGCTCCAGCCCTTGGATCATTTTTGTGGTTCTTCTCTGGACACACTCCAACAGGTTCACATCTCTCTTGTGCTAGGGGCACCAGAGCTGGATGCAGAACTCCAGATGAGGTCTCACCAGGGCAGAGTAGAGGGGCAGAATGACCTCTCTCAATCTGCTGGTGACACTTCTTTTGATACGAGGGGGGGTGGGAAAAGGGAAGCCTGAGGCTCTGGGCAGGATGGCAGCCAGAGGGCCATGACCCTGAGCAGGGCACCCAGCATGCACAGAGGGTGCCCAGAGCAGGCAGCCCTGCCCACCCCTGCCCATGTTACCTGACAGTGGGTGTGTGGCCAGTGAGGCTGCCTGCCTGCTGGCGGGACAGGAACTGGTTGAGGTCTCCATTCTCCATGTACTCGGTGATCATGCACAGTGGGTCATCTGTGATGCACACTGCCAGGAGCCGGATGATGTTGGGGTCCTTCAGCCGTGACATGATCTTGATTTCCTTCAGAAAATCATTCCTTTCCGGAACAGAAACCACATGGATCGGATAGACAGACCCAGAGGGCCAAGGAGGTGTACACAGAGCATGCCACCCACCTGCCCAAGCCTTGCAGGTACCCATGGGTCCCCTCCCCTGGGAACGGTGGCCATGAAGGGGAGCTTGGGGCTGAACCACACATGGCTGTGGGGTGGACTCAGCTGGTAGTGCTAGTGAGATGTTTGGGACCAGCAAGGATATCAGCTCAGCATCTCCAGATAGCTTGGACACAGGTGGTCCTCATGGCTACACTGAGTCCCTGGTGGCCCAAAGCAGGGGATGCTTTCCAGGCATCCCAGCTCTCCTGGAGAGTTCAGTGCAGGGGGAATGATGCCAGGACATGTACACTCCTTGGCTCTTTACCTGGCATTCTTGTTGGCATCCGCTCGCAGCATCTTCACAGCCACCAGCATGGGGCAGTTGGAGCTGGCGTCCAAGCCCTCCAGGGCAAAGTCCTTGTCCATGAACTTCTCCATGCCCTCCACTTCACAGAGGTGAACCTGGAGGAGGAGAACAGACAGCCCTTACCTCTGCCAACCAACAGCCTCCCCCAGTCCCTGCAAACCCAGAAGAGCTTTGCCAGAGCCCTGCCTGGAGCAGGTCTGGCTCCCACTCACCTCCCCAAACTGGCCTTCCCCCAGCTTCTCCTTGAAGGTCAGCAGCTTCCTGGGGAACTCTTCAACAGCCACGTCCTTGCCGGAGAGCAGGTCCATGGTGAGGGCGGGCACCGAGTAGGTGTTGCCGCCCGTCACGCCCTGCAGGTTCACGATGTCGGCCTCAGCATAGTGGGGGACACCCTCAGGGACACTGGCCTGGGAGGGCTTCACAGGGCCACTGCAGCCTGTGGGGAACACAGCAGGACCAGCCCTGACAAGGGAGTCCTGTCTGCACCCTCTACTCCCCAGTATCTACTCATGCTCCAGCCTCTGGCTTCTCCATCCCCATCCTTCCCAGAGCCCCTAGGCTTCCCTGGCATGGCCAGGCTCCTGCAGACACGGAAGGCTGCCACCTTCCTTCCCCATCACCAACAAACACGCTGACCCAGCCCAGGCACCAGATGAGCAGGGATCAGAGCCCGACCGCCAGGTCACCGAGGAAGGGAGGCTGGAGCACCCCAAGAACAGTGGTGGGGACACAGCTTAGCCTGGCATGGACATGGGTGATTTCTCTCAGTCCCAGGCTCAGTGTGACCTTCGAGCTGGATGTGCAGGAGTTCAAGCAACATCCCCCCCACAGCCCTTCGTGACAAAATGTTTGGAGCTTGGCCACAAGCTGTGTCTGTGCTGGGCTGGGTACATGGTGGGCAGCTCCCAGCAGACAGGGGGGCCCGGCTCTCACCTGTGTCCTCCTCCCCTGGGGTGAACTCCGGTAGCTTGCGGATCAGGCGGGAGGGCTCCTGGTAGTCGGGTCCCAGGGGGAATATGCGGTCGTAGGTGGAGCTGGACTCCTGCTCACTGGACGAGGAGGAGTGGTTGTGGTTGAACATGCTGGATTCACTGGGCAGGGAAAGGCTGACTGTCATCTCATCATCCAGCATCCTCCGCGAGGCCTGCGAGAGGGGCAAGGGAGGAGAGAGCTGGGGCAGGAGGTCTCCACAGCACCAGTGGGATGGGGGTCTCCTCTACTCCATGGCACTTTGGTTGTGTCCAGCCACAAGTCTCTCTCTCCAGTGCCCTGCCCAGGGCTGCAACACCCGCTTGGGGAAGACATTTGTCCTCATGTAACCCCCTTCTATTGTGTGCTTCTGTGAAGAAGAGTTTGGCTTCATCACCTCTGCGACTGACCTCCGTTAGCCAGGGGATGCAGTGAGACCCTTCAGGCTCCTCTTCCTGAGCCAGCTTCAAGACAGAGAGATAGACAAGCAGGCAACTCCTAAAGTCACCACCCTGCTCAGCTAAATCCCCTTTCTTGGGAGACGAGTGCAAATCACAACCTTCCCAAGGAGAAGAAGGGAGCATAAGCTCCTGCACAGAGTCTGCTTTTCCCATGCTGAGATCCCAGGAGAACCAGCCTTGCACAAGTCCACCACCCTGGGAAAACTCACCAGCCACCCCACCCTTGCCCACCTTCTCCAGCATCTTCTGCCAGAACTGCCGCCACAGTATGATGACAATGATGGCCACCAAGATGAAGATGATTGCCACCAGGCACCCGATCAGGATGCGTGTGTTGCTGTCGTCTACCTTGAGTGTAGGGTCTAGTAGGAGAAGAGAACAGCAAGAGCCAGTGACACTGGTGCATGGGGAGAGTCCTTGCCCCTATCCTCCATCAGATGGGGCAGAGAACCCCCAGAGCATCTCCCCACCTAGCTCAGTGCAATGTGCTCCTCTGTGCCTTACCATAAGTGGTGGGGACCACAGACACTTCTGGAGGGACCATAGAGTTGTTGTACATGGCTGCATCTGGCAAGAGGAAAGAGGAGAGCATCAGGGTGGGAGGTGTGGGGCCACACTCCCTCCTTGAAACCCTCCCCCCAGGAGCATCTGATCCCCACAAGGCTCATGGCAGCAGGTACCTGACTGGAAGGTGATCTCGCTGAACATCATCCAGGTGTCAGCAAAGTAGTACTGGCACTTGATGGCGTTGGCCATGCGGTGGAGCAGGGGCACGGTGACAAAGCGGGCGCTGGGGTTCACGTCATCCAGCACCAGCACCGAGGACACTACGCTGGGCTCCCACTCGCTGGTGTCAGCACGGAAGTAGCACTGCACCTCCTTGAAGATCTTCACCCCTTTGGCAAACATGTTGTTGCAGTGGACCTGTGGAGCAGCCTGTCAGCGCGGCCATGGCAGCAGGCAGGGACAGGGGACGGGCTGGGGGGCACGCAGACCTTCATGGCGGTGAAGTTCCTGATGCGGTCGAACTCGAAGGTGATCTCCACGTAACCACCGGCCGTGCTCTCGTTGCGCCAGCCCACGTAGTCATATCCTGGCCAGACGTGGTACTCGTGGGTCTGTGTGAAGTCGTCCAGCCCCGACACCCCGTCCGTCAGCTGGCCCAGGCCCTCCGTCATGCTGGCGTGTGCGAGGGGGAAAGGGAGCATCACTCTCACCAACCCCACAAACCTGCCACCACTCAGCACCCCCTGAGCAGCTCCTCGCAGCCCCTGGGAAGTTCAGGAGGGGGTTTGGTTCCCTCTTAAAGAGGCTAAGGGATGTTAACATGCAGTTAGCATAAATCCAGGAGAAGAGCTGGGCATGCATTCCTCATTACACCATCCCTATCACCACGTGCAGCCTCCCAGAGCTGGCCATGTGCCCCGCTTCAGGGAAACCCCAAGTATCTGTTCTGCTGAGAGTCAGCACATCAGCCTGCAAATGCAGGGAAGAAACAAAGAAACGCCCCCAACTCCTCCTCCCATGGTGCCCACAATGTGTGCAAGCCCACCCAGTCCTCACCTGTACCCAAACGCCCCATCATACACCGAGTCATTCAGGCAGATGACGGTGCCCCCAGGAAGGACAAGCTGCTGCCCAGCTGGTGCATTGTAGGACACCAGCCCATCTGCGGGGAGAGGAGGGTGAGTGGCTGCCCACAGCAGGACAGACAGCCCCGCAGCTGGGCTCTGGGGACACAGGAAGGGCACAGGAGCACACCACCCACCCAGCCAGAGGCAGCCGTACAGCTCCACGCGCAGGCAGACGTTCATGGAGTGGTAAGTGACAGGGATGAAGCGGACGAAACGCGCGATGAGGGGCGGCTCCAGGTCCCTCAGGACGATGTCGTAAGGGTTGGTGTTTCCATCCAGCACCTGGGGAAAGAGAAGCACAGTGATGTAGGCACTGCAGCCCCCCAGCCACCACCCAGCTCAGCCCCTGCCCACCTGCTCACCTGTTTCCCATGCCGGTTCCTCCAGGAGATCCAGCGAGTGCCATCACGGCTGTAGTTGATCTTATACATGGGTGCAAACTCATTGCCATGGCCCCCAGCGTGGCGACCCTGGGTGCCCACCAGAGTGATGAAGTGGAGTGCATGCAGGTCAATCTGCAGGAACTCCTTCAGGTCATCAGGCTCCACTGGGCTCGCAGGGCACCAGGCACCATCACCATCCTCTGAGTCCAGCCTGCAAACCCAGAGCAAAGGAGCCATTTGCAGGTGGCCAAAGCCAGGCCTGTGCCCCTCTTTTGCCTTTCCCAAACTTGCCACAGCAAGGACCCCACACTCACCGTCCATACTTGGCAGCTGTGGAGTGGGACCACTGGCTGGAGGCTGAGATGTCCTCTTCAGGGATGTGCCCGCCTGACATTCCCAAGGGGTACCTGCACACCGCTGCAACGAGACCGGCGGGGTGCTGAGCAGGCATCCCTCCTCACCTCCCCATCCAAGGGAGAACACAGCTGGAACACAGCATGGCACTGCTGGTGCTGGGGCACACCCGCAGCACCACGGGCGGCTCAGGCACAGCCCTTGCCATCCCTCTGCCTCTCAGAGCCGGGAGAGGGGGGATAAAGCACGATGTCCTGCACAGGCAGATGCCTGCCCGGGTAAGTGGAGCTGCTGGCCAGAAGTAGGTGCTGTCCCAGCTGGAAGCAAAGCCAGAAGCAAGGGGAGGCAGCAGTCCAAGGGCTGCTGGAGACAGCCAGTCACTGTCCCTCAGCCTTGCTGGCAAGCCGTGAAGCTGTGCTGGAGGGAGAGCCCTGGGCTGGTGCAGCTGTCCCCGCGCTCCTCATTCTGGGGGCACCCGCAGAACCACCCGCAGCAATGGGCTCTTGGCCGTACGATGCCACTGCTCCCCCACCTGCCCAGGGGAACAAGTGACAAAGGCGGCCACTTGCCCTCCCTGCCAGCTCCACAGCTCCCGTCACCAGCCTCTTCCTCCCTCCCGCCCGGGCTGCGAGTGGAAAAGTACCCAGGGTGGCAGGCAGGCTGCGTCCCCGCGTGGGAGCCGGCTCCCCCAAGCACCACATCCACGCTGCTTCCCAGGAGTTATTTTTTCCCCCCCGGCTGCCAAGGGAGCTGCTGAAAGGCGGGTTTGTCTGCCCGTGTTTACTGTCTGGCCCCGGCTCCAGGCCCAGCGCTCGCTCCGCACGCTGCCCCAGCGAGCGCGGCAGGGCCCGGGTGAGGCTGCAGGGCCGGGATCACCTCCTGCCCACACAGCCTCCAGCTCACCCAGCAAGGAGCCCGTGGTGCTTCCCGGCAGCCAGCTCTCATCCCTGGGTCCCGGTGCCACAGGGAACGTCTCCTGCATCTCCACAGAGAGATGGGCACATCTTCAGCATGAGCACGGGGAGAGTGAGGAGCATCTCTTGCCTCCAGCTCTCCCACTTGTGCTGCTCTGCAGAGCACAGCTCCCACTGAACTCCCATTTAACTCTTGCTGACCATGGAGCCAGCCCAGCTCCTTTGCCCTAGGTGATAACCATCCTGGCCAGGCAAAGCCAACACTGCCAGCCCTGGATGGCTGCAGAAGGAACAGGATTGTTTCCCTAAGCACCATGCAACCTCCAGACCCAGCAAACTTCCTATAGACAGAAGAAGCCTTTGAAGGGACCTGTTACAGGGATGCCCTGGAAAAACCCGAAGGCACTGGAAGCATCTAGGCTCTGTGTCCACCCCTAAGGCACAGGAGAGGGCTGAGTCCTTGAGAAATAACCATTTAAACACGCTTCCCTGGCTGATGTTGGGCACAGTGTTGTGGTTTCTGAGCAGAAGCCAGGCACCTCGTTAAGCTGCTTTACTAAAGCCAACCTTGGTTTGCTGTGAAACTGCCAAAGAAAGAACAATACCCCTGTGCCTTGCCTTCTGCACACCACTGCCCCAATGCTCAATGAGCCCCCAGTAGAGAAGGGCCCCCCTCAGAGCCCAGGACTCCAGCTGCAGCACCTTGCCAGTTCCCCAACACCCCACTGGTGCTGGACAGGTGCCTATGGCACACAGAGGATGCTTCCTGGGTCACTGATGATGGCTGAGCCATGTGCAGGACAGCAAAATGCCCAGGCAAGCACAGGCTTCAGGGCCATCACACGCTGCTCCCAGAGAAAGCCCCAGAGAGAGTGGAGGTGATGTGAGCCAAGCTCAGACACCCAAGCTCTTGCAGCCACCTGATCCCTATCTATCTTACCTGGGTTGACCTGGGCTCTTGCAGCCTGCATGACAAGCAGCAGCAGTGGCAGCAGCAGCAGGGCTGGTCTGGGGGTGGCCAGCATGTCAGCAGTCCTGTAGAGACAGAAGCAGGACTTGTCATGCTGAGGCAGCTCAGCCACACAGAAACGCTGGTCCTGCTTGGAGCAACCAGCTGAGGGCAGGAGGGCATCCCCTGCACCAGACCCCACATCCCCACCTCAGCCTTGCAGGGGGAGCAGAGCCCCACGCCTCAAATCTGTCCTAGTGGTCAAAGCGGTCCTGGTGTCCCATCCCCTCTGCCTTGACCCCCAGGAGCCACAGCATCATGGTGACACAGCACCATGGAGCCACACCAATGCAGCCACATGGGCAGGTGATGTGGCCCTGCTGTGTCCCTGGAGCTGGTGGTGTGAAATATCCACAAGGCCCACAGAAAGGTCCTAGGGCTCTGCCATCCAGCTCCACCAATGGGCACCAAGGCTCCGGCTGGGCCACTTGCCCTTGGATGGCTTTGAGAGCAAGACATTGCACAACCTCATCATAAAACAGAATAATAGCACGTTGCTGCACATGGTTTCCCTGCCTTCTGGCTCAGGAGAGATAATAGCAGATAATCGCCCGAGATTCACAGCGTATTTGTTGTGACAGCTGCCTATGGCAGAGCAGGTCTCAGGGACATGAGTGACACAGAAAGGTGTGACAGAGGGCACAGGAGCCAGCTTGTGCACCCTCTGCCTCTGGGGGAATGTGGGACAGGGTTAGAGGAGGTCTGGGGGTGCTGGCAACTGGGCTTGGGCTTCAGCAAGGGGGGAAAAAAGGCTGGGGTGGGGTCCTTGAAGCAAGGCATGGTATGAGGGGATACCCCCGGCCCCAGGAAGTGCCTGCCCTCTGAGCCAGTGCTGCCACCACAGGCGTTTTGCAGCCATCACCCTGGTTTTGGCTCACCCTCAGCTGCCAAGGAACCCCTAGAGCCCAAGCAGCTCCTGCTGCACCCACACCCCTTGGGCAGCCACCATGGGGCATGGCACGATGCTGAGGGACACACCAGGACTGCCCCTAAACATCACCAGCCCCGACCCAGGATCCCTGGGCTCCCTCTTCCTTTATTTGCTAAAGGGACATTCATCCTCCTGGGACAGTTCTCCACACGAGAACTAAATGCACATTAGTCTTCTTTTTATTAAAAAAAGCATTTTACATGCACATTAACCTTTGCAGGAACAACTTATTAACCCGAGGGTTAAAGAGACCAGAGCTCCTGGCTGCATTTGACACCTGGGGTAAATCCAAGCAGAGTTCTGCTGTACCAGAGGTGGCTGGGCTGGCTCAGCAGGTCCCCGAGCTGGCCCAGAACCAGTGACACCACAGGTAGGTGCCTGGTCATGTCCCTGCACCTACCCCACACCAGGACCTGCAGCCTTGTCCCCATCACCAAGAAAAAGCCAAAGTCCACCCTGAACAACCAGCTGCCACTTGGCAGCTGCCCCCCCTCCGGCAGAGCCCAGCTGGATCCAGCCCTGCTCACTGCCAGGATGGGGGTTTGGCACAGCAGGAGCAAAGAAGACTTACTGTGACCACACCAGCACCCAAGGGGGGAGCAAAGCCCCGGGAGTCGCCTTCCACACCCTCCCAGAAGCTCCTCACACCAAGGGGTGGGCTGCTGGGCTGCCCAGGGGTCTGATAAACACCACAAGCTCTGAAGAACGTACAACTGAACACTTCGAGTTAGGGTGATTTTTTTTCCCCCCCTATTTTATGTTTTGTTGTTGTTGGGTTTTTTTGGAAAAGCACACATTGGGTTGCTTTTTCTTTTATTCCCATATGGGAAAGTTTAGTTGGTTGCAACTAACTCAGCTGCAACTGGGAATTCCAGCTGCATGGCTGAGAGGCACACACGAGGCTCCTGTGTTTGATGACGGCCAGTTTCCCCAGCATTAAAATCTCAATTTCCTTCTGCATTCCAAAAAAACATCCAGGGATATTTTTATCCCCCTATTCTTTCAGGCTGAGTGAACTCTTTAAGCATCAGGATACCAGATGCCATAATGTCCCAGGGCAAATGCATTTACATTGAGTCTCATATAGGGAAGTGATCCCCGTGCAGCTGTGGTGAAGTGCCTGTTGCTCCTCAGGGAAGCGGGGCTGGTGGGGGACAGTGGGTAGACAGTGACTCAGGCAGTGAGGCTGGGGGCTAAGGGACACACGGTCAAACTGGCTGAGCAATATTGGCAGCACCAGCTGGAAATAATTTTTGTTCCACCAACCCTGCAACAGGGATGGCTCCGCAACGTTTTGTCTGAAAATGTTTGCTGAAAATTTTCAATCGCTGGAAATTTTTAGTGCAGGGAGTTTTTTGGAGCTCCTCCCTGGCATCGCCTGGGCTCAGGAGCTTCCACTGGTCTCTGCTTTGCTTTTTTTCCTTCCCTTTTTCTTCCCCCCCTCCCCCCCTCCTTATTCTACTGAATTCACCAAGGAAAATTAGCGGGGAGAGAAAAAAAACAACTTATCTCCACAGCTGTTTAGAGATAAACCCCACCTGAGCCACGGTTTCCCTTATCCCCATCCAGGGCTGGCTGGTGAAGCCCCCAGAGCCCTTCCCAGGTAGACATTCTCACTGACACCAGAGGAGCATCATCCGTTGGGATGGGGCTGGATGGCCTTAGCCTGCATCCCCTGTGCACCCCAGGTCCTGGATGTGGGTCTCCCAGGGCTCCCATGGCAGCCCATGAGGCTGGGGGTTCCCTTCCTGCTGGGATGGAGGGCCGGGGGGAGGACATGCTGAGGCTACTCTGGAGGCAATGTCTCCGAGAGACTCCCTGTGGCCCTGGAGCATGACCCAAGGCATGCAGTGGTTGGGGAAGGGGG